GTCCCCCGGTGTCCCCTGGTGTCCCTGGTGTCCCCGGGTGTCCCTTGCTGTCCCTTGCTGTCCTCTGGTGTCCCCCAGTGTCCCCAGTGTCCCCACGTGTCCCCTGGTGTCCCTTGCTGTCCCCTGCTGTCCCTTGCTGTCCCCCGATGTCCCCCGGTGTCCCCACGTGTCCCCTGCTGTCCCCCGCTGTCCCCTGGTGTCCCTGGTGTCCCCTGGTGTCCCTTGTGTCCCTTGGTGTCCCCCATGTCCCCTGCTGTCCCCCGGTGTCCCCCGGTGTCCCTTGGTGTCCCCGCTGTCCCCTGGTGTCCCTGGTGTCCATTGGTGTCCCCTGCTGTCCCCTGGTGTCCCCCGCTGTCCCCAAACTGGTGTCACTGGCGCTTTGCAGGCCAAGCTGCTGGAGGAGATGGACCAGGAGTTCGGGGTCAGCCCCTTGGTGGAGGAGGAGTTCCAGCGGCGCCGGAGGGTGAGGGACACTGGGGACATTGGGGACAGCTTGGGGACAGCTTGGGGACAGCTCGGGGACAGGCAGTGACCCCCCTGTGCCCCCCAGGAGCGTTACAGCGCCCGGGACCTGCAGGGGCTGACGGTGGAGCACGACCCGGCCTCGATCCCCGAGGGACAAACGCTGGTGCTGACCCTCAAGGACAGGGGTCAGTGGGGACAGGGGACACTGGGGACAGGGGGACATGGGGGATGGTGGGGACAGAGGGGACATGGGGACACTGGGGACAGTGGGGACATTGGGGATATTGGGGATACTGGGGACAGTGGGGACAGGGGGACACTGGGGACAGGGGGACACTGGGGACATGGGGACAGTAAGGACATCAGGGACAGTGGGGACACTGGGGTGGCACAGGGACGGGGGTCAGTGGGGACATGGTGGGGACAGGACTGTCCCCAAGGGCCATGGGGAGGGTGCTTTGGGCGTGGGGTGGCTTGTCCTTGTCCAGGGTGTCCTCTCACTGTCCCTCTGTCCCTTCCCTGTCACCTTCCTGTGTCCCCTGGCTGTGTCCCCTCCCTGTCCCTGTCCCTTGACTGTCCTCTGGCTGTGTCCCCTCTGTCCCCTCACTGTTCCCTCTGCCCCTTGGCTGTTCCTGTGTCCCTGTGCTGTCCATGTCTGTCCCTGTCCCCTCTGTCCCCTGGCTGTCCCTGTCCCCTCACTGTCCCCGTGCTGTCCCTTGGCTGTCACTGTCCCCTGGCTGTGTCCCCTCACTGTCCCCTGTGTCCCCTCACTGTCCTCTGTGTCCCCTGGCTGTCTCTGGCTGTCCCTGTGTCCCCTCTGTCCCTGTGTCCCCCGTGTCCCCTGTGTCCCCCCGTCCCCTGTGTCCCCATGTCCCTCATGTCCCCTGTCTGTCCCTTCTGTCCCCTCTGTCCCCCGTGTCCCCCGTGTCCCTGTCCCCTGGCGCTGTCCCTGTCCCCTGTCCCCTCTGTCCCCTGTGTCCCCTGAGGCTCTCCCCTGTCCCCTGTCCCCCCTGTCCCCTGTTCCTGTCCCCTGACAGTGTCCCCGTGT